TCTCCAAAACCTTTTGATTTCTGATTTGAAGGTGTTCCTGAGAGGCTGATCGCCCCTCGTTACACCCTGTATAATACACTATATGAGGCTGAAATTCGGCCCGACTGAAAAGATTCTTGCACATCTGGAAAATCTGCCCAAAAAGGCCTAAAAAACATTGCACAGTGTATGCCCGGCTTAAAGCAACATGCGGGGAAGGGGGACAGGGAAATTTATGGTCGCTATAGTATTTTTTTCTGGTGTTTTCTTCAGTTGAAGTTTCAACTTTTTAAAATAAAAGGTTGATTGTGTACATACCTCATCAGGGAGAGGGATTTAGATGAGGAAGAAAGAAACTCAAATGGTTTAAAGGTTGGATTATAGAAAAAAAGTCAGAATTCCTGGTCTAACGAATTTAGAAAGTAGAAACATGCGGTTTTTGTTTCGATGAACTGAAGGTGCAGATCTGTGGCCCTTAGCAGAGACCCTGCCCAGCTGTTTTGGCCCCTATTCAATCATGTTTCATGTCCAGACAAACTGCTATTGTGTTTCACACCCAGAGGCAATAAACAAGGCTAACTGACAGCCAAATGCAGCCATCTTGTTTTCTCTGGGATGGACACCTGATCCCTGACACACTTCAGAGGAGAGAACGATTGATCCACTAAGAACAAGTGGGTCAGAGGTCACCTGGTGTCCTACAGCTGAAGGGGCTGCTGCACAGGCGGCTTAGATAACAACTCAGAGATAACTTAGAACAAGGTGAGCTCAACAAAACGTGACACCTGCTATGTTCCTACGATGCAGCTGCAAGAACGACATCGCGACTACGTCACTACATAGAAAACACTTAGAGGATGAGTAAAATACATTTTACTCTTAGTTTAACAATAACGGAAAAAAATAACAGATCAAATTAACAGAAAGCAACAAAGCAGAGGAACTAAAATATAAAAAAAAAAATCTCCTTTGTTTAGGATGTCCTCTATAAGTGGAGCTCAGCACACAGAAGGTAAACTTTATGAATTTGTCAGTCAGAGGCAGCATGTGGCCTCCATCTGCAGCACTGCTCAGGAATCACATCACATAAAGACATGCAGATCATTAGGTTATAGGTCAAAGTTTAAGCTAAAACTACCTAAAATACATATATCGTATATATCAATCACTGCTTGCTATCAGATAAGACAAAAACCAGGGTGTACCTTTCATCTGCTGGTTACAAATACAGTCTTTGTATGATCTGGTGAACTGTAAAGTGCCTTGAGATGACATGTGTTGTGAATTGGCGCTATGTGAATAAACTGAATTGAATAAAATATTAAATAGTTTGATCAAGGAGATGCAGATGGAGGGACGGTCAGCTCCGACTAACTGTTCACTGGAGTTTGGAGCTCTCCTGGTTTGTAGATGAGCCCAAAAACATCATAATGATGGACAGAGTTTTACTGGCTGAGTCAAGCTGGAGACATTTTGCAACAATAAATAAAGAAACATGCTAACTAATAATCACGCTAATCAAAGAAACATGGGACATTTAAAATTTTAGCTCTGTGGTTCCATTACAAATAATAATTGAATAAATTAAACAGGATTCTTTAAAATATGGTACACTTGTAATAGCTTAATGTATGATTGAACATCCCCACATAAAAGCAGCTTTAAAGTTTCATGCTATAAGTTGAACACATTAAAACAAAAACATAAGAAAACAAAAAATGTTATTGAATACCTGTGGTTAACGTTACAGTATTTTTTTCAGTAAAAACTGCACCATAGGTTCTGCCTTGTATGTGTCTCTACTAACTCAGAGAGTAATGAGTTTACTCTCACACAGGAAGGGGGGGGTGGGTGTTCTCATTTTGCTGACACTTATTGTTTATAGACATGTTCCTTCATTTTATAAGAAAGGCACAAATCACCACTGCGTCCGCCTCCATATATGAAAACCACATTTTATGTCCACATAGCCGCAGCAGTGAAGGCCGTCGCTAGAGGATGTGCAGCAGAAATGAACCCCTGACAGCAACAACATGACTGAGCGTTAGGACAGCACTAAACAAAACCTCAAAGCAGCTGATTTATCTTGAGGAATGTTAGTAAGTGGGTGACTAATTACTTCAGGAATCGTTTCAGCCCTAATGTGGTTACAGCAGTGAAAGCAGCTGAGGCAAAGTCCCTGTTTATGTTTGGCTGCTCAAGTTTGCAGGGTGAAGAGCTGCACCGATAACTGAAGAGTTTCATGACTTTAGGTGACACAAACCTGTTGCATTAGAAGCAGATCATCAAAGACTTTCACTAAAGCCGGGCGTACGCTGTACGATCGTTGCACGCGGCTACAGCTCACACTGTATGACGAGCCGCAGGGTTTAAAAGTTCGCAGCTCACGATGCATGTTCTCACACTTTGTGGCCCGGCGCTCTGATGCCATCTACCTTCTCACACCGTGCGCCTAAAAACCAAGTGGGACTCAGCATCGCAGTGAGATGGCGCTACACTGACTCGTCTATCCGGAAGCCAAACCAGTAGAGGAATATGAAAGCCCTAAAAATAGAAGGTGGCAACGTATCTGGACAAAGACATGGCTGAGCAAACGTGGCTATTACAGTCTGTCAATTTTACGGAAAGAACTCCATTTCACTCGCACCCCCACCATGCTTCTGTGTTTACATCAGAGAGGAAGAAGAAGAAAAATCCTTGTTTGCGCATTGAGCGATTTGCCCACGACGGCCATGAAAGGCTGATCTTCCATCTTTACCCCCTGTACACGACGCACAATCAGGCTGAAAGTCAGCCTGATCAAAAAATTCTCGCACGACTTAAACACACACATCTTTGCATGCAGTGCTGCTGAAAACAGATCTCATGATTTGTTTATTTCAGCATGATTTGGGACACTGAAAGTTCAAATGAGTTTATAAATGATTAGTTGATCTTTTAAAATGGATACAATGATTGTTATATGCTATCTGCACGGATAAATATGAGATATTTAGACATCACGTTTCACCGCTTGGTCGTATTAATGCCTTAATTATGTTTTTAATAAAGATTTTTTAAGAGAATTATACCAAATGGAAAAGATAACATACTTGTTAAGACTCCAAACAGACATTTTCAGCCAACGCTGGGATACTGTGGAAGATTTACTCAAGTAAACAAGTCTTACTAGATTATGTTACATAGCCCTTCCATCCGAGGTGAATTCTTGTGCTAGGTTTGCATGGTGAAGCTCAGACCACTATTATGATGCTGCGACTGTAAAATGTAATGCTGGGATGGTTAATCTATGGTAAACTTTCACACTGTAAAAAACTGTTAACTGTCATTGTATGTTGTGTATTTGCTCTGTTTTAAAGACGTTTTTCTACCCTTTTCTGACCCAACCCTCAGGCATAGTGTGATGTGTTCTAAATGAGTTGAAGTTTGTCACTAATACTGCGGATAATGCAGATGAATAGCTTTTAATTTTTGCTACGTTTTTGCAAACATCACCATGTGTTTTTTTTTTGAAAAACCCAGATGGTTCTAGCAGACATGGTGGAACAAGATTCTGCCACAGTATGATTTATTAATAGATATTGATATATATGAATAATCATGAAAAAACAAAGTTTTTCTCCTTATTTAATGTTCCCTGGTTATTCAGTAAGATTTGAAGATATCAGGCTTATTAAGTTTCTTTATCTGGAGAGTCAAGGGTTCATTTCTTTGACTGTGAAAAAATTGTACAGTGTATGCTCGGCTGAAAAAAACAAACTCCGTAGTGACACATTGATTTACCAGATAACAGAGGCTAAAGCCAGGTTCACTGGATTCCAGATGTGTTTAGGTATCTAGCTGTGACAGGGAGCTTTATTATCAGGCATTTCTGTGATGGAGAGTTGGGGACACGGGTTGTTTATCAGAGCATGTAACAATAGCCCCTGTAGAGCTGCAACAATCGGCTCCGTCTGCTGTGGCGTTTCACTCTGTTCGCTCCAGAACATGTTTGTTCTGTTAGGGTCTCTCAGCACACATCCCATCTGCATTATGTAAGCAGAAATACAGGAGCTCTGATGTTCACCACGCCTCTCCTAACAGGGAGCCAGAGATGAGCTAAAGCCTGATAAAGAGAAACCTTTAAGAGGCCTGTGGTCACATTATCAGCCCAAACACGTCACACATGCAGGACTGAACGTGCAGGCGTCCCGTTCTCAGCGACCCTGCTGACGCTAACCTTTTGAGCCTAAAATACCACCCAGCTGGCTCTAGTAACACGTACGCATCGTTTTCAACAAACACATTCCCTTCAGGACCAGCAGGCACAGAATCAGCAAGTTAAATTGGACTCTGATCAGCCGTTTAGGGAATCTGACAGATGGCCTCACTAAATAAATGAGTGTTTTATCCAAGCTTTCTTCCTCCATTGTTCTACCCAGTATAATAAGCCAAAGGGAGCAGCTGCTGGGTTTTTCTTACTAACAGCAAACTTACACTGAAATCTTTAAGGATCCTTTCAATGTTTGTCCTTCTTCTAATATATTAAATGTTATTTAACTTGTAACTTTCTGAAGATATGAAGAAGAAAGTCGGACGAGCTGCAGATAAAGCTAAAAACTCATGTTTTACTAGCTTAAATCATTTCTTTAGCATTGGGCTGTTTGCATAAAACAACAGCCAAATTATACCTAATTAAGTTATCAAACTCTTCATTTTTCACAGGCTCTGCGTTGGAAAAACAGTAGGGCTGTTGATGCTCAGGGCTATGCGTAGCAGTCAGCTGAGACTGAGCAGAAAGAAAGTGAAAATAAACATCTCACAGTTAAAAAACAAAAAAAGCCCAGATTGTGCAATGTATGAACTATTTCAGTGATGTCTATTGTGCACTCTGAAGGAACTGACGGCATCTCCTCAGCTACAACAATGCCTTCCTTTCCTGAGTCAATGGGCCTCAGGTCTTACTGTAATTTGTGTTTATATCAGCCGCTGTAAATTGCTGCGTTTTCTGATCATCAATTCCACAAAGCGTTAAATGATTGCTCAATGCTTAATGATTCCTGGAACGCTGCAGAGACAAACTGTTAGTTAGCGCTGATGGTGGATATCGCTGATAATCTGACAAACTACCAATAAAGCCAGCAGGAAACATTCTTACAGGCAAGTCTGAACACTTCCCTTCCGTGCAAACCATCCTGTGGGTGGGAAACGATCGCAGAGTTAGAGCCAGCAGCCCTTTAAGACCTGTTCTGCTGAAAAGTCAACAAATCCATCACAGATCATAGTCGGTGATAAATGCATACCATTTATATTCTGCTCAGCTTCTTGTGTCCACATAAAAAAAAAAACTAGAAAAGCACTCTGAGAGCGCAGCCCTCCCCCAAGCAAATTAAAGCAACACATGAACATAAGTTCTTTAGGTTCTGCATAGAAAATTCAAATCTCACTGAATAACCAGGGAACATTAGATACAGAAAAAAACTTTTTTTTTGCATGATTAATCATATATATCAATATCTATTAACAAAACATATTGTGGCAGATTCTTGTTCCACAATGTTGTCCAAAAGTTTGCGAGAATGTAACTAAAAGCTATTCATCTGTCTTAACTGTGTCTTTAGTGACAAACTTCCACTCATTTAAAAAATATAACACTATGCCTGAGCGTTGGGTCAGAAAAGGGTAGCAAAAATGTCTTTATTAAACATATAATCAAGGCATTAATACAACCAAGAGGTGAAACATGAAGCTGTCTAATATCTATGTTTTTTTGTGCTGATAGCATATAACATTCATTGTATCCATTTGAAAAGATCAACTAATCTAGGGCTGCAACAACGAATCGATAAAATCGATAAAATTCGACTTTTAAAAGCGTTGGCAACGAATTT